TTTGATAATGGGAAATCCATTTTGATAATTATTTGTAATTATTTGTTATTCTTAGGCTTCTGAAGTCAGAGGAATTGAGGAAGTAATTTTATAATCAAGATCTACAGAAAGTTATTTTATTTAAGGTTGAGTCCTCGCTTTTATTTTGAGAGGAATTAGGCTTGTGTCTTAGATTCAAAGAATTTTTTAATCCCACATGATTTTGTTTTCCTTGAAGAGAGGATTAGAATCATGAATTGATGCTTTTGAATTTAAAGTTGACTATTGTGTGCCTTAAGCCTGCTTCCTCGACCCACATCCCCATCCCCTTCCTCTTGTTTCTGAGCTTTCTCAGGTCTCTCTAATTATTTAGAGGGTGGGGGAAAGTCAACACTTGACCCTGATGACCTGTCTGGCTTCTGTCTCATCTCTTGTTTAATACTATGGTTGAACTCCTAAAAGTAGTGTGTGCTGCATCCACAGCATTTTTCCCCCCATGTCACTATCTCTCTGGAATCTAGTTTCTAGGTTCACCCATGTACCACATGTCCCAGCTGAAGTCTCCAGCTTTGGGGATACCATGTAAGGTCAGAAGGGTGTATCCTACACAAGGGTTCCAGGGCCAGGGGATAAGTGGAGGCTGGAATGCAGGTGCATTTGCTGGCCCCACCAAACCCTGTCATGGGGACGGATCAGTCTAGAGGGAGCAACTTTTGTATTTTGCCTGAAGGCGCCATAGTGCAAGTCGTGGCTTTGTCAACAATTCCCTTGGCCCAATCTCAGCCTTTCCTGTTTGATCTTGTTCTTCAAAATCTAGATCTTTAAAAAGACAAATAAGCATGTAATCAAGAATTAAATCATTAGTTTTTAAACATACAAAATTCTTTGTAAACTGGAGTCTGCCTAAGGCTGTTAAAATCTTAAATCACCATGGGATTGGGATGGATTATTTTTCTGTGGTTTTTTTTTTTTTTTTTTTTTTTTTTTTTTTTTTTTTTTAGCAAAATACTAGTTGAGGGAAGGAAAAATTGGGGATGGAATCCTCACAGAAAAGGCAATGCCAATTCCTTATCAGATCAGTTCTGCCTTAAATTCCACAGCCCAGGTGCTGAAATACTTATGGGAGACGTCAGAACACAGGTAGAGAGAACAGGCTGCAGCACCAGGCAGACTGGTGGTGGCATATTGGTGCCACCACTTAGTGATATTGCCTTGGGCTGTCATAAATTTTCTGGGCTTCAAATTTCTCATCTACAGAATAATGATAAGAATAGTTGCCTCTCAGTAGTCCTCTAGTGGAGGATTTGGGGAAACATTGCAGAGACACACCTTCTCTCACCTGGAGTCAGAATGTTCTCACAATCCAGTCATTTCCCCACGCTGATCATCTGCTAATGATGCTCTTATTTCCTCTTCTTCTTCAACTGGATATTTTTTTGGTCAAGTTTTGAGATTCAACCTCTCTTCCAAGAGTGTCTCCTAATATTTTTAAAGATTTATTTATTTGAGAGAGAGAAAGAGAGTGCAAACAGGATAAGGGACAGGGAGAGAGGGGAGGGAATCTCAAGAAGACTCCTTGTTAAGTACAGAGTCGGACGCGGGGCTTGATCTAATGATACTGAGATCATGACCTAAGTCAAAATCAAGAGTCCACTCTTAACCAACTGAGCCACCCACGGGCCCCTGATATTTTTAACTTGAATAAACATTCTTTTCCTTAGCTCTGGTTGAGGCATTCCTCTGGTAGCTTAAAACATCTTTTTATCATAGATTTTATTCTGCTGTGTTGTAACCACACTGGGGGAGAATTATGGGAGTTATGCCTCATTTATGATTACATCCTTGGTGCTTAACATAGTGCATGGAATTTTGGTAATTATTTGGTGAACTCAATTGTCCAGATTTCAACAACTGGAGAAATGTTTAAAAAAAAAAAAAAAGCTCTGGCAGCTGGGAAGCATGCATTAAGGAGTGGTGGGGACTGAACCATTTTCCTTGCATATTTCATTTCTAACAAGTGTTAATTCCTCTATTGCTTCATTTCTGGTCCATTACACTTTCCAGGTTTCTTCTTGGAGAGGAACTGACCTATTTCCAAGGCTTCTGTTACCTCTGGTCCTGATCTTAGGAATTGCAGCTACCTACTACAAAGCTGAGTAGACCAGTACCTTGCTGAGCGGATATCAACATCTCCTAGGTGCTTGTTATAAGCAGAGTCTGAGTCTCCACTCTACAATTCCTGAGTCAGGATCTGCACTGTAACTAGTTTCCAAAGTGGTTTGTATAGGTAATAAAATGTAAGAAGCCCCAGCATCATAGCAGTTACCTTCAAGAATAGTGTATTCCTCAAATTTCCTTTACATAAACATATGTGTCTATGAAGACACAGGAAAAAATATGAGGATTGTTGCAAAGATATGAAATAGTACACTGATATATTGATAAAGTCTTGGTCAAAACCAGGAAGTAATTCTGCACCTAAGAAAACCTCAAATAAAATGCTCTATATTAGATTAGAACAAGGCAGACAATCTAAATATTTAAAGTGGTTCAAATAAGTGAGAAATGAATTTTTCAACTTAATGTCTTGTCATTAATGTCTTTATGATCCTCTGCTTGGAAATAAAAAGGTTTATCCTTTTTTAAGATTGAAAATGTTTATCTTTTAAAAGACCACATTTCTCAAAAGAAATGCACACACTCCATCGTGGCAAACACTTTTTTTTTGGTACTAGTTAAATGACCTATGTGAAGATTTCAGTTTTCTGTTTCAATCCCCAGGCAAAGCAAGTATTTGCTTTTAGCATAGTTGATCCCCAAGCACTTTGCAAATGTTTCCACAAAGCCAGCTGCCCTTTACAGATTCCCCCAGGGAAACTTTCTTTTGGTTACTAACCCTCAAGCACCCATAAATCCTACTTATGAATGTATTTGTCATATGGGAAGAGCTCATGAATCTTCAGATCTTTTGGAGGAAGACATCGAGTCTCCAGTTTGGAAAGCTCTGTCCTTTGGCTCAGACCTTTGGGCGCATCTGAAGACTAGCTCCTCTGCCGAGGAAAGAAAGAAAAAAAGGCAAAAAAACCAAACAGCACCTCTGTAGTATGTCTTGTCTAACTTTGGCAGGATGGAAAAGGCTGAGAAAAATTCATCTTGTTAGCTTCATTGGATTTCGAATATGTTTTTGGAGCAAAGTTCCTGGTTCTGAGCGCTGTGGCCACGTGGAATCTCCAGGTTACTGCCTTTGCTTCCTCATGGTTCAGTACTGCTTCCTCTCTGGGGGTTTCATTTGTCGCCCCTCATTTGGCTCCTCTTTCCCCTGGATGCATTTAACGACTGACTTTTCATGTCAAATGTTAAATTAAATAAAGGACTATCGTCAGATACTAGGGGGAATTGAGATGCAAAACTGTCAGTTCCAGAGCCTTGGTAACTACTGAGAGGAGGTGGCTGTTGGAAAACCTGACTGTGGATTCAGGGTTTATTCTGCACACATCTAGGGGGTTGTTCAAGTGTGTAGACTGTGTGTGTGTGTGCGCGCGTGTATGAGTCATGTACGTGCGTGCCTGTGTCACAAACAGAAAACCTGAACTCCCCAGCACATACCTGTTTTCATATAATTTTGTTGCAAAGCCTTTTCTTTCTTTCTTTCTTTCTTTCTTTCTTTCTTTCTTTCTTCTTTCTCTTTCTTTCTTTTCCTTCCTTCCTTCCTTCCATCCTTCCTTCCTTCTTTCTCTCGCTGAGCTGTCCTATTTTTTGGTAACTTGCCTCTTCCCTAACATATTGGCTGTAACTGTATTTCTTTTCATTAGACCTGGGGGTTGCTTGTCATTTATACCATACTTTTGCTTTTCTCTTTCATTTTGGAAGGAGAGGTTTTTCTATTATTTCAGAGCAAAGCACCTCTGGTTTATGTGGCAACTCTTGTGGCTTTCTAAATGCACTTGATTTAGCTTTCAATGTGTAATTACTGCCAAACAAGTTAATTGCTTTATAAGTGTCCAAAATTCCCTGGTTTAATTTTGCTTTCATTTACCAACCTTCATTATACATCCACTGTTCAACATAAACACAAATGATTGTTAATGAAAGCCTAATGCCATATTCATTAGAAAATCAGGTTAATGACTGGCAATGAATATCCCAGCTCCTTTATTCTTTCAATACATTTTTTTTTGCTTGTTGATTACAATAGTTTTTCTCTGTTTACAAGGAAATTCTACCTGCATTATAGGCATGCTTAAAAGTTCAAGATAAGGCTTTTCTAAGAAATCAGATAACCCCAGTCCTGGGGGTTATCTGCTTACCAGTGCCTTTACCCTTTAGAAAGAATCTCCTATAAAGTGGAACAGAACAGTCAGAATGCACACAATTTCCTTGGACTGTTGGCTATCACGAAGCTGTACTGTTTGGACAGCTATAATCTCCGAGTTGTTGTGTACAGGTGTTTAGATGGTGCACTCAACAACCTTAGGAGGCATTGTTTGTTTGCATTCTGAATGATGCCACCCAGCTGTGCTCTGCACAACCTGCATTCCTCAGGCAGTGGCACTGAGAAATCTGCATTGAAATAGGATACGTGTCACAGCAGTGTGGCTTGGACCTGAACAGAGGATCATGTATGTATGGGCTTAAACACAGAGGCCAGACTCTGAAATTTGGTCCCTTGCTTGTCCCTATGTGCTTGTGTGGACTGAGCAGTTACCACATCTATCCAATGAGAATGTTGGTGATGTCCTGTTCTCTCCAGTTCTCAGGCTCCGTGATTCCTTTTGGGATGGTGGGAGAGTCCACCTGTATTCTTTAAAACCATCTAAAGCTTTAAATAGTTGGATGCTTACCATGTGCCTGGCATGGAGTTGATGCTGGGGATACTTGTCAAAAACACATTTCCTGGTGTTCTGGGAGGCCCAGGGCCCCCCACTGTATCTGTTAGGAGCACAAATGTAGCACACTCACAATGCTGCTCAGTGTCAGCGCTCTTAGGTCTTGCTATGCTTCCCAATCTTCTTTCAATTTTTTTTTTTTTTTTTAAGCAAGATGTATCGGGTAGACTGGAAGGTCTTCTGATGCTCAGATTTGGCTATTTTCACCATTGATTTCTTTCAATCTTTTTTATTCTTCCATCTGGAGACCTCTTCTACTTCTCTTGTCACATTCCTCTAGTTTTGATACTCTGATCTCAGAGACCTCACTGTCTCTTCCAGTTGTGTCTCTTTTTGGGGGTCTGCTTCCATCAGCCAAGTCTGCATCATTTATACTCATTGGCTGCACATGTGTCTGTACTCCATGTGTCTCTCCCTCATAACATTTAGCATCATTAGAATTTTGCCTTGATTTGTGTGATTCTCTGGGTACTATTTTTGCCTTAGATTCTAATCTCCTCAAGGAAAGGGTATGATAGACTAATTGTTTTTCTGGTGCCTAGACATATGCTGGTATCCCGGTCACAGGTCTGTTAGGATATTGTCTCCATGACAATAGGCTCTGCAGGTCAATAAAAGGCTGAAGTAAAATTTTAGCAAATATTAAACAATAAAAGGTCAAGGGCCCTGAAGATTGTGACTAACCAAACAAAAGGCATCAAATCGAAAGGCACAGAAGTATGAAAATAAATCCTGATATTATTTTATTGAGGTTTGATACTTTAATATAAAAGTTACCAGATTCTGTACCATTGTCACATCCCTGGGGTGCCTTTTCTGGCCCCCAAACGGACCTGTTGTAGATATTGTATATTTGCATCTGTCAGGTTTCTGCTATGCTAATTCTGCAGGATAAGCAACTCCAAAATCAGTGGCTTTCCACAAGCAGCATTTGTTTCTTATTTATGTTCTGGTCTGCATGTTGGCCATGGCTCTGCTGGGTTCAGCTGGGATTGGCTTACGACTGTGGGTTGCGGTCTACTCTATTACACTTGTCTCCTTATGCTGGGACCTGTGCCTCCTTGGAGCATGTTTTTCCTAGCTAAGACACACACTAGAGGTCAAGGCAAACCCTGCATATACATTTAAAACCTCTGCATGAACATATCACTGGTGAGAGCAAGTCATGGGGCCTAGCTCAACATCAGGGGGACAGGAAACATACTTCATTTACTTAGGAAGGAAGTACTTCAAAGCCACATGGCAAACAATGTAAATGATTAAGTCTATTTCATCCTAACATATTACAAGTTTCTCAAAATACTTTGCTTCTTTTATTCATAACGTTTTCACAGTTGAAATTTTGCAGTACATGTATGATTCTTTAGCTACTTGCTGTGTTTTCCTCTCGCCTCTTGAGGGTAGGAGTTGTGTCTGTCTGGCCTCACTGATATTCCCCTAGTAGCTAGCACAGTGTTCTGGTTGATATCAAGTACTCAATGACCGAACAGTCATTGTTCACATGAATTACCTTCTAGTCTACCTGAAAACCATCTCAGGAAAGGATATATATCTTTGTGAGAATTATTGAAGTTATACTAAGTGCCTTGTTTCAGAAATCCTCTTGCTATATTCCCATTGTAAGCCATGTAACCCTGTGGGAGAGAAACATAATCCACGCAAATGTGAGTAAGTTGAGTGGTGCTGCGTGGGATGGTGTCCATAGTTTGTTTTGGGTTCAGTTGCTCCATACGTAAGAAAATTTGCATATATATGCAAATTTATATATAATATATAAAAATAATATATATTATAATAATATATAATATAATATATAATATATAAATATAATATATATAAATATAAATATAAATATATATTTATATATATATATATATACATATATATATATATATATTACTTTACAAGTGGGAAAGATTTTCTTTTAAATTTTAAAATAGGGCAGCCCGGGTGGCGCAGCGGTTTAGCGCCGCCTGCAGCCCAGGGCGTGATTCTGGAGACCCTGGATCAAGTCCCACGTCAGGCTCTCTGCATGGAGCCTGCTTCTCCCTCTGCCTGTGTCTCTGCTACTCTCTCTCTCTCTGCATCTCTATGAATGAATAAATAAATAAAATCTTTAAAAAAATAAATTTCAAAATAACGAGAACATTAAAAGACCTAGCTTATGGACTTCTGGATCTCTGTTGGAGACTTATGCTACTCTTTTATCTTTAATACAGATATGTACACTGAGAAGATAACTTATTCATTTGATAAGCAATAGAAATCAGCGTGCTTTAGGTATGTGTACAGTGCTTGTGTGTGGCACAACATACAGAAATTAGGATGATAATTTCATCTAATATAATCAATAAAAATAAATGACTGAGTTCATCAAATGAAAGGCTGACCTATTAGTAATATTCTTCCCCCAGCCCATCTTCTACCTATTGGTTGCTAATGGTTTCCTGTTGGTGGGAGCTGCAGTGAGTGTTTGTTGCTACCGTGTGCATGTGCATGTCTATAAATGACTACAATGCACACATGGAGATGTGGTCACCATGGTTGGCCTGTCCATTTATCATGGAGCTGTGGTAGCTTCCCAGGTTCCTTTCCATGAGAGCTGTGTTTACAAAAGCAGAATCTGGAAAGAAAAAAACCTTTCAGCCAACACTTAAATTTACATCCAAAGAGCTCTAATTGCCTTCATTTCCTTCCTATTTACCATGGTGGGAATGGCGATGTCCTTTGGAGAGGATCACATGGCTCACTGACACTCATGAAATCAGAAAGTTCCAAGCATGTGGGGAGAGGGGTCATTCTAGTTATGTCCTCCAGAGTCTCTCCTTTCCAAAATTTGTGAGCAGGATTACTCCAAATTACTGCTTGTTGAGAAGTAGCATATGGTAACTGAAAATAGAATATAAGAGCAGAAATCAAGAGATACGGAAAATCATATTTTAAGAGTAAAAAAAAGGACAACTCTGGGAAGAGGAGAAACATGACCCAGTTAAAAAAACATGACCTGGTTTTCTAACTGTTCTTATATACCACTAAAGCACAGAATATATCTAAATCAGGTGTCCTAAATATGCTGTTCCCTTAATCATTTTTACATCTGGGCTTCAAGCAACTGACCTCTTAAGAAAGTTTGCAACTGAATAATTCCATGACCCGCAGCATGGACTGTGTTGAGGAGGAAACAGCAGCCAGTGAAGTCCCTGAATTGATGTCATTTCACCACTAGTACCTTAAGGCCCTAAGAAGGCAAAGCCCATCCACTTGTCAAGGAGTGACACAGACAATAGAGAGAATCAGACGTTGCTAATTAGCTCATGCTACAGCGACCTAAAGCTTCTCAAGCTTTCAGACAGGTGCCACTCCAGTGCCTACCACTCTCTTCCTCCCACAGCTGAAGTAAGCCCTGGGAAGCAAGTGCAAGCCTATGTGAGATCCGGAGCTTGGCATAGCTGGATCCTCTTCCAAATTGTTTTGTCCCCTTTTTCTCTTCCCCCATTCTATTCCTTCTCTTTCTGCATTTGTGTGACCTTGGAGGAATTATAGAAAAGGACTAAAAAATTTTAAGATGTATATCTTTGAAAGACTTTTATATTATTTGTCATTGTTTGTATTATACTGACTACACTTCATTGTGTATTATATATTATATGTTATATTTTGTGCCTTATACATCATATATATAACATATATAATATGTTAGACATCATATCTAATTTACTGCCATATATATCAAATGATCCATATTTGTATGTGTGTGTATTCTAATTTTATACATTATATATTATATTTACTGACTACCTATGTTAGTTAGAAGGCTGTTTCAAAAGCAACAGTAAAGAAAGACTGTTTGCCTTCTAGGAGCCTGTCATATAATGAGGATTTAAATAATGGAAAATAAGCAAAAAAGTAAAGTAATTGCAGGTAGTGAAAACTACAATGCTATGAAGAAGGTAAATAGGGGTAGTCATGTCAAAGATGACGTGGGTTGTAGGAGGATGTGGCCTTGCTAGGATAGGGTGGTCTGAGGAGGTCTTTGTGAAGAGGTGAGATTTGAGTCTAGTCTAGAGCTATGAGAAAGAGACACTTTGGTGACATTCTGGTTGGCAGGAAGTTCTTGGAGACCGACTATTTCAAGTAGAAAAAACAGCCTGAGACAGACTGGGCTTAGTTTTTTTTTTAATATTTTATTTATTTATTCATGAGAGATACAGAGAGAGAGAGAAGCAGAGACACAGCCAGAAGGAGAAGCAGGTTCCATGCAGGGAGCCTGACATGGTACTCGATCCCGGGTCTCCAGGATCATGCTCTGCGCCGAAGGCAGGTGCTAAACCACTGAGCCACCCAGGGATCCCCACAGACTGGGCTTAGAACATTGACGAGTGGACAGAATGTGAATGCACTGGCGTGGAGAGTGAAGGAGTAGGTGGAGCAGTGGCAGGAGCCAGAGCACAGAGGGCCTCATGGCCAGTGAAAGGAATTTGTCTTCTATGCAAGGCAGAAGCCATAATGAGAGTTTATTTTATAGCAGGAGATGAAATGATCTAATTCACTTTTTAAGAGTTTCACTGGGTATTGTATGCAGGATGAATTTGGGGGAAATAAGAGACCTTGAGTCCCATTAAGAAATTCCAGAACTATTCCAGAGAGTGAGATGGTGGCTAGGACAAGGTCCGCTGCAGTTGAATGAATTGGAGGAGGTGGCCAGACTTCAAAAATGTTTTGGAGGTGGAGCTGATAGCACATTGTAATGAACTGAATGTGGGGTGTAAAGAATAATCAAGGAAGACTTTTGGGCTTTTGGCCTAAAAAACTAAAGTGGGTAAGGTAGAGATGGTGAGAATCTTGAGAACAGATTTTTGGTGGAGACCATCTGTGGTTGCATTTGGAGAATGCTAAGCTTGAGATGCTTCGTACTTAATGTCTCATTGGTTATAACTTAGTCTCATGGTCAGACCTCGCTGCAAGAGGAGTAGAGAGATGTCCATTAGCTGTGCACATTGTGACTTCAAACTAGTACTCCATCACGGAGGATAAGAAGAGAACAGTTGTAAGGGTAGGTGCCTAATAATATCTACACAGAAATAAATAATAGCAGTATACCCAAAACATGGTTTCCAAAAATAATTACTTTGGAATGATTCATGGGTCAAAGAAGAAATAATGATGAAAAGAAGAAGAATACTCAGAGTGGAATAATAATACCTTAAAAGTGTGA